TCTCTCTCTCTCTCTCTCTCTCTCTCTCTCTCTCTCTCTCTCTCTCTCTCTGTCAAATACGCGCACACACCCACACGTATATAAACATACACACCCAACGTCCCGTGTCTCCCTCTTTCTCCTTCTCACCCGGGTGGTGTGGTCACCTCTGCTTTTGGACACCTGCTGCTTCTCGCTGATGCAGACGCGAGCCTGCAAGCGAGGCGCAGCGTCACGTGATCGGACTAGCCGTTCTATGTGTATATGCAAAGCCGTCGAATACGTGTACGGAAGGCCAGTGAAAGTAAGTTCCGTCATTTCTGCCACGTCCTATGCGTCCTATACGACGTTTCGCGACGTTCGTCGTCGCGGAGCGATAATGTTACGAACCTGGCGGATTTGCCATTTGAGTCCCTAATATATTCCGTTTGACATTCGTCTGCTAAAATCAAACGTGTTATTGAACGACATCAACGATTTTTGCATCGGTCTGCAAAAATAGCCGAAATAGCTCTTAGGGCGAAACGAGGACGAGTTAAATTTTTCTTGTGAAACTCGTTTCGGCAAAACCTATGTAAATATTTTGTTGCGAAAACACATACGCGGCCAAGCTTAGAGTTAAAACTCGAGATGATTCTTATGTGCCCATTAGATATAACGATTGATCGTTAACATAAATTAATAAGATAATCCACGATTGAATTAATATTTATCGATCGCTATTCTTCTTGAATCGTTCGTTTTTTTCCATTGACAAGATTTTCGTAAAGAAGTTTGTGCAATTTCAATGTCCTTTTATCGATTGCTTCATCGAGATTCGAAATTTCTCAATACCTATTCGTAATTAATTCGCCTCTTGCGAATTTTTTGTCGCAATCGCAATGCGAGGACACGTGTCGCTCGTACGCAATGTGCTACAGGCATTTACGCAAATCTGCGACCACGTGGATCACACAGAGAAGGAGAGAGAAGGAGAGAATGAGAGAGAGAGAGAGAGAAGGAGAGAGAGAGAGAGAGAGAAGGAGAGAGAGAGAGAGAGAGAGAGAGAGAGAGAGAGAGAGAGAGAGAGAGAGAGAGAGAGAGAGAGAGAGAGAGAGAGAGAGAGAGAGAGAGAGAGAGAGAGAGAGAGAGAGAGAGAGAGAGAGAGAGAGAGAAAAGAAGTGTGGCAGAGGGAAGAGACCAAGAACGGGGAGAAACAGCCGCCGCGGCCGCAAGCATCAACCTCTCCCACCATGGCGCCTCTGTGGCCGGTTCTCTCGTTCTCGCGCGCCTTCAACTCTCACGCTCTCTCTCTCTGCGTACGCACTATTTTTTAGTCCGCACTTATTACGACAGATGTCTCATGCTCCGATAAAGAATAACGGCGGGCAAAGCGGGAGCCTTCCCCCCGCTAGATGCTAGTCCTAACCAGGCTCGGGAACAGCAGCCCGTACTTGGTGCTTCGTCGGCTCGTGGTGTCACTGTAACGCGCCGGTTTACGTTACGCACGTCTCTCTCCTTTTTTTTCTTCCGGTTCCTCCTCGTTCCCTCTGTTTCCCTCTTATTCTTTCCTTTTCTCTCTATCTTTCTCTCTTTTTCTTTCTTTTTCTTTCTCTCTCTCTCTC